GGAGAACAAATAAAAAGAAAAATTCCTTATTTGGTAATTTCAGAATCAACAACTTTTAAAATCATATGCCCCTAAGAAAATAAAAGTTGATATATCAGGATTTTTATCCATTTTCGTTTCTGGTGCCATACTTGGGGAATGGTGTTGCTGACCAAACAGGAGAGGTGAATCCTAATTATCATACTCTGACCTGCTTGGAGGAGGGGCAATTATTAGGTGAAATGTCTACTATAGAAAGATATGAAAAGCAGACCATAGCCCCTTGAGTGTGGCAAATATTCATCGTGAAACCAACTTTGTCACAGAGGTGAATAGTGGCAGTTAAGGGATGAAGTGTAGTGTGGTAATAGGCACTTGTTGCCACAGAAAATCAATCCACGTTCAATTATTAGTAAATCTTTGTCCTTTTGGTCCTGGTAATTTTCTGTACTAGTGCTGGGGTTCATTTAAGAATAGTATTTGCCTAAGTAAAAGATTGACGAAGAATTCCTTGGGACACGGTTAGAATCTTCTCTATGCCTCCATTTACTATTTCAGATTGATTGTACCAAGCACCGCTGTGTCGATGAAAGCGAAGGGCGTCTTTGGGCCGAAAGCAAAGGGTTCCTGTACTTTGAAACTTCAGCACAAACTGGAGAAGGAATTAATGAAATGTTCCAGGTAACCTAGCATTTTGTTGTTTTAGAGTTTGTGTCAAGGCTGCCCATGCCAAATTTTAGTGTAAATTACAAAAAGCCGAAAAATAATAGGGATTTCTCATTAGAATAAGCTCTTTTCAGAAGCTGGTGAGAGAGAGAAAGACATGAATATGAGTGTGTGTGTGTATGTGTGGTACCTGTCTGCTGTCTATTTTAGATGAGACCTGGCCAATCATGAGAATTACCTGGAGAAATTCTTCAAAATACAGATTGTTGGGTTCCAAACCTACTGGAAGCTTAATGTTGTGCTGGAGCTAGGAATATATACATTTTGAAAAAACTCTCTAGGTGATTCCAATGATTATCAAGTTTAACAATGGTTATTATACACTTACTTATAAGTAGGACAAAGATTTTCTTCAAAACTAGCCTTGATTACATTTGTATGCATAATCAAACGGAAGCATTGCTTTGGCAGAATTGCCTTGCTATAGCTAATAGAATCCTATATTGTAGCCCATAGGGGTACAATTAGAGAATAGGAGACTATCATTGCAGAATCTAGCCACACATAAAAATTGGGTCTCACCAATTTAGTAAGCAATAGAAGGATGTACTCACATTGCAACATGAATAGATGGTCACTTTTTAGAACTTAACTAATCTTGAATAATTTTGAGGAGGGGAAGCTATTTAAACAATAAGTTATAAAGTCAAGTCAAATCTTAATTATAGGTACATTTGGAAGTAAGGGGTGGCATGAATAATGCATTTTTTCTTATGAATATATCAGATATTTTGGGAATTTTTAGAATTTCAAATAATGTAGCTATACTATAAAGAGTTGTTCTTAATTATTGAGTGGGATTTTATTGAATCTTTTATGCTGAATTTCCTTCTCACAAGCTGTCACCCCACCTGTTAGAAGACAGGCTTCATCCTTGGCTGACAGGCTAAGTTGGGCATCAGTAGCTTCTATTTCAAGACCAAATAAGGTCGATATCAGTTTGCCATGTTTGTATTCTTTTGAGTACATAGACCTGTGTGAGTTTGTACCTATATATGTGCAATAATAATACTTAACCATTTGAATGGTATTTTATAATTCTGGATGCGTTTATCTCATTTGAGACTCTTAATATGTGGCAGGCATTAACCTCATTTCAGATAAAAGGACACCTAAGAGTAGTAGTGATTTATTCAAGAGTTGTGAATAATAACAGTTACAGGTTAAATCAGCACTTTAAAGATGTTAGTCCGTTCTCTTTTGGCCTCTTATTGCGTCTGTGATGAGATGTTAGCTGTCATTCTTACTCTTATTCTTTGGTATGTAATGTGTCTTTTTTTCCCTCCAGCTACTTTCAAGAGTTTCTCCTTATCTTTCTTTGGTTTCCAGCAATTGTGCTATGTCCCTAGATGTGGTTCTCTTTATATTTATCCTTCTTAGGATTTGTTGAGTTTCTCAGATTGGTAGGCATGTGTTTTTTATCAAATTTGGGGAGTATTTTTTTTTTTTTTACATATATATGCCTATTCTCACTCTTTTCTTTTTGGGACTCCAGCTATATATATATTAGACCATTTGATTTTGTCCTGTAGTCCTTGAGGCTATGTTTATTTTTATTTCATTTTTTCCTGTTTTTCAGATCGCGTAGTCTCTATTGCTCTGACTTCAATCTGCTGTTAAATCCACGGAGTGAATTTTTTAATTCAGTACTTTTCAGTTGTAGAATTTGCATTTGTTTATTTTGTTCTTAGCTCTCTGCTGAGTTCTCTATCTGTTACTCATTGAGAGTATATTTTCTTTTAATTCTTTGATCATATTTTTCATTACCTCTTTGAAATAATTGCTTTTTTATGAATTTTAAGAGTTATTGGACAACATTGAAATTCTTTAAGTTGATGCTTAAAAGGAATTTATATTTTCACAAAATCAGTTCTACTCTGGGATGTGTTTTCTTTTTGCAGACCTTTTACTCATCCATAGTTGATTTATGTGAAAATGGTGGGAAACGTCCTGTCACAAATAGCAGTGCTAGTTTCACCAAAGAACAAGCAGACACCATTCGCAGAATTCGAAATAGTAAAGACAGTTGGGACATGTTGGGAGTCAAACCTGGAGCCTCAAGGTAAGCAGTGCTCTAGGATGTTAGTGCTGAGTTCTATTATAGAGGAAGACTCAATCATCAAAATTATAGGTGCATTATATCTTATAATTGGCTAGAAGCATGAAAATGTGTGGAAATAGATTACTTAACAATGCTCTTTCACTGATCTTTGATGTTTAGTTAATATCAGTCGCCTGATGTGGGAACTATGTGGTGTACGTACATGAATACTTTCTGAAATGATATGCTCTGCTTTTGTTGAATAAGAGGTTGAAGCTAATGTAACCTTAAAAAAATACCTTGCAGAAGAGAATTCTTAAATCATAGAAGCTTAGAGGAGGAAAAAATGTTATTAATCAACTTGTTCAATTTTATAGGTGGGAAAACTGGGACTCAGTGAAACTAAACACATTTAGTAACCTAAGGAGTTAGTAGTAGAATTGGTTCTTGACCCCAATTCTACTACTATCTATCTGTTTCTTTGTCTTTATGTCTCTCTCAAAAATCTTGTTAGTTCTTCATTTGTGTGTACTTACGTTAAATTATTTTATTTTAGCCAAAAGAATTATTTGGGAGAAAAAGAAATGCAATCACTACTCTTTGTTGCTTGTGCAAGAATAAATCATTGCTTAGTATGGTTAGATACCTTTTATTACAGTTTTATTGAAATATAATTGACCTACAGCTCTATAAGTTTAAGGTGTACAACCTAATGTTTTGATTTGCATACATTGTGAAATGGTTACCACAAATTTAGTTAATATCCATCATCTCATAGAGAAAAAAAGATTTGACCTTGTGATGAGAACTCTTGGGATGTACTCTTAACTTTCGAGGATTACATAACTTCTTACCATATACCACTACTCTTACTTTGCATATTATAATTTAGAAGCGTTCTTAGATCTTTTTATTTTGCACTATAGCTTTCCTCTCCATGTTTCTCCCTTTCTACTTTTTCACCTTGATTCCCACAAAAGAAAAAAGTACATCTTGAATTTACCTTGTCAGCATAACAGCATTAAGTATCTCTTCTCCATTTCGGTCTCATAGCTTATCTTTAAATCAAGGAGGAAAGAGGGAAGGGGAAGAGGAAGACAGTTATTGGTCATCCTTGACTGGCCAGGCATGACTGAGCATACTTTAAACAGATGAGGGAATGAAGATGACCTCATGTATATAGCACTAAGTTCATTGGTATCTTTTAAATGTCCTTTTTGACTTCCATGGTCTCATTCTCAATTCTTCCATTTCATCTACATGGGATACTGGCTCTGAAACCAAGAAACTATCACTGTACTTATTAATTAACTTAGAACAGTGTTTGTTAAGGAAAAAAGAAACTTTAGTTCCTTATTTACTCACTGTGGCTAATTGGAATCACCAAAATTTACAGAACCTCCATAATCCATATCCTTAAGCAGTACAAACATGTATTTTTCTTACCTTTTTTCCTCTGGGTCTATCTAACTTATTTTGTATGGCATTGAGCACATGTGGGCATAACCTAAAAACATTTTTTTTTTTAAGTTATAGAGAGTTTTAATGTTTGTTCAGTGCTAACTGTGTTTACTATTCTTGAACTTTAAGAAAATCTTCATCTTCAGTAGAATTAGTATATTTCTTACACACTTGACTCAGTCTTGTTTCTCCAGAAATTTCCTTTGAAAGTCTCTCCTGCTATCCAGAATTCTTAGTGCAGAGGACCAAGCCTCATTACTAACCCCCTATGGACGTGTTCCCTCAGGAAACGGCGGCTACAGGAGCCCTGCCCAGGAGTCACTCATGGAGAAGGGAGAGGAAGCTGTGCCTGCCTCAAAGACAGTTTTTTAGGGAGAATGTAATTCTTGTTAGCTAACATCAAATTTATCTATGTAGAAAAGCTACATGCAAGATTAAAACAAAATTCAGAAGGACTCTTCTAAGAGCAGAAAACAGAAAAAGCCTTAGAACGTATGCTTAAGACATGGAGAACTATTAACATGGTCCTATGACCTCAGTCTCTCCAAGTTGACACATAAGACTTTCTGTCACACCCAAGACATCTCCCTAATCTGGAGAGCCAAACTAGAAATTGTTCCAATGAAAAATAAAGGAGAGAAGCTAGGGCATTTGGAAAAGTACCATATCCAGGCATATAGGATAACTGGAACCATGAATTACAAAAGAATGGTGGAAAATAAAACCATCTGGTAGTGACAGAGGCAGACTCTGACCAGGGGAGTGGTTGGATCTTTAGAAGCCTCACAGGTGCCTGAAGATAATAAAGAACAGAGTCAAGTGGTCCCCAGGCCCCTCCCCAACCAGTCACTGCTTGTTGAGGAGCTTAGAAGGTCTTTGGAGAAATGCTCATTGTTAGTCATTTCCTCTCTGGATAATATTCTCTCTTGATTTTTTTGACGTCAGGGAGCTCAGTGTATGTGACTCTCAGGTACTTCTTTCCATGTCCCTTTTTTGGTCATTGGCGTCACCATCTTCCCAGGGCCTCAAATTCCCTGTGACCCCGAAATTCATGTCAGTCTTTTTTCTTATATCTTATCTACCTGTATATCTAGCTCATTATCTGCTTCTGCCAATTCTTTCTTTATATTATATCTTTTATCTTCCCTTCCACAAACACTGTAATCTAAACTCTTATAGTCATGCTTGGGTTATGGTAACAACCTTCTACCTGCCTCCCAACTTAAAGAAACATCTTTCCTAGCACCATTTTGTCATGAAACACCTACTATTGTTATTGTTTATCAAATCCAATTTTTATGTTGTTTTATGTTGTTGTTTTGCCTTTATGGCCTTTAACTTACTGACCCCTGCTCCATGGCCAACTTCGTTTCTTTGTACTTCCCAGCAGTTTCCTGGGAACAACACGCCACGTCCGTGCTCTGTTCCTAGCCTCTGCCAGTTCTCTCCCAGTCGCCCTGTATGTCCCCACTCCCGTGTTAATCCCCAAGACCCACCTTTCCTAACCCTACTCCGGGGGGCCTTCTCTGATCACCCCATATCCTCACTGCTGTCAGCAAAGGTTCGCTGAGAGTCTGCTCGCTGCCAAGTACTTGTCTCTATTCACCGGATCATTCTTTTACCAAGTGTTTTCTTAGTATTTATATACTCATTTGCACCGTATTTTTTCTACTCGTATGTTAAATACTATTTATTTGTTTATTGTTTGTTTCCTAGTCCTGTAGTCTCACCCTTGGAAAGGGTGGTAATTATTTGGGATACGCTTAACTGTGAGAGCCGTTACATTATCCAACCAGCTAAATGCAGTGCGCGTGCGCGGGGCTGGCCCTGTTTCTGATGTCGAGCTTTGCTGCTTTTCGTAGGGATGAAGTCAACAAAGCGTATCGGAAACTCGCGGTGCTGCTTCACCCTGACAAATGTGTGGCGCCCGGTAGTGAAGATGCCTTCAAAGCAGTTGTGAATGCCCGGACAGCCCTCCTGAAAAACATCAAGTAGAAAGTAGAAAAAGACAAACATGGGCCTCGAGTACAAACAGACTTTCCCTAGAGGTAAAATAATCAACATAGATTTTTTTCCTCCACAAAATTTTATTGCTTTTTCCACTCGTGTGTTATTTGGAAATTGGTAATTCGGGTGCCTGTTACCATTTCGTAGAGAGATGAAGTGAAGAGAACCAAGCATCACTTATACACCATAGTTCATTTCATATTTCCAAATTGAATTTTTTTTTCTGATTCATTTGTAAGCTCCTTTAGGCACTTCATTCAGGGAAGTCCATTAGATTTCTAGAGGGAGGAAGGACAAGAAGACTCTTTCGCTTTGTCTTTTCTTCCTTTTTTTAAATTCATCATCAGAAAAGAAAATGACAAAAACAGAGGCAGACATAGCAAAACCCCTGAAAGTTTGGCGTGACCTCACAAGCAAAGTGCTCCTTTTAGAATGAATTCCGTAGGTGGTATTTTAACCATCAGCCTAGAATTAATGAACTCTTAGTAGCCCTTTGGAAGTTTGTGCTGCAAGGCAATGCAGTTCTGAAATCAGCAGCCCTTTTATGACATTCACGACGTTGGCCTTCTCCAACCACCAGGGGGAGGGACAAGCCAGTCCTAAGAGAGTAAAGGCAATGGCAGCCACAATTTCTGGGTATACTGGCTGCTGTTAGTCCTGCTCCCGGATCTAAGACCTTTCTTTTGCTGTGAAAATGGTGTGCTGGTTGCTGTAGGGAGCGTCATCACCTAGGCATCAAGAATCAGACCCAAGAAAGAGTGGTGGCAGGTCACACTAGATTGTGCAGACATCCCCAGTCACGCACGGTCAGCCTGGCTGAGGCACATTTGGTGCCCTAGGAGAGCCCCCACATGAGACTGATACATTTTCTTGTTTCTGCATCATTTACCACAGACAGATGGGAAAGACCAGGGTGCTTTTCCAACAAGCGAGGCCTCCTCTTTGCTTCTTCATCAATGTTGGTTCCCTCTTTTTTCTCTCTTCTTCTCTCCCTTCTTGTTTTTATTTTTTATACACTACATCTGCATCATTTCTCTCTTCTCAAAACCCTGGTTTCCAGCCACTGCCTTCTCAGTCCTCCCTTACAAGCCTTGACCCGGGCCTGGTTGACCAGAAACAAGAATGGATCCTCGGGGTAGTGATGGAGGGAGAGGCCTTAAAACCTGTGTGGGAGGAATCTCCGTAATTTTGCTTGTGTTCTAAATTTCTGAATAGTAATATTTTTAAACTACATTTTATGAAAATTAATTTCACATAAAAAAATGCATCCTCTTGCCATCGTCTCCTCCTCAAGCTCCAAGGGTGGATGAAGAACAAACGTTAGGACTGGCCTTTCTTTCAGAGCTTGTAGAACCTTTCTTACTGCGTGACTCGTGACATCATCACTCGTTACGGCACCCATAATTTTCCCTGTGACGACTCTGCACTGATAGGGGCTTTCAAGGACATAAAACATTACTGTCTGTGAGTTTTAAACAGCGATCCCACATTGATCGCCTATTAGCATACCTTATCACCTAAGAAGAAAAGCCACTTTTGTTTAATTTAAGCCCACTGCAGTCTTCTGGGTTCTCACCCTTTCCCTAGCAGCTTCACTTTGTGTGGCTGCACTTGGGCTGCATCGAGCCCGTTGTTAGGAAACCAGAGCATTGTTTTCTAATATGAGTTTTCATCTTAGTGATACTGAAAATGTTCTTTTTTATGAATTGAGATCTGAGATATGATTTCTTATGGGATTTTTTTCTGGCCTTTTCATTTTAACTAGCTCCTGAGACTGCAGAACTCCAACCCAAAGTTATTCCGTATCTAAATTTTGCTTAAGGCATTCATCATGTCTATAGTGATTAACCTGTTCTTGCAACAGACTTTAGGAGTGAATGAGGGATCGTGCAAATTGACATGACAACTCACTGAGTATGTGGCCCTGTATAAAAAGCTGGTGCCAGTTTTCATCACTGTTATTAAACACTAGGTTGGTCACCTCACCAGCTACGTTGTGCATATGAACAATTATAGCACAAATAGTTCTTTAGTTTTTTCATTCATATCTTTACATAATCAGTGACTTATGAAAGTTAAGCCTGATCTCGATTCTTAGGTCTGGGGCCTCCGTTCCCAGCACCTTCATTATTAATATTAAGGATGGCCATGTACTACTTCATTTATGTAAAGGAAAGAAAAGAAGAAAAGTAAGATTCAGAGTCCTAGAATTTTTCTGATTTCCATAATCCTTGAGTAGAATCAAAAGATAATGAAGAATGACCTGCAATGAAAAGTTTTTTAGTACTAACTTCATACAAAACTTTACAGACTTCTGCACATTAATTTATTGGTGCAAATATGTACTTTGTCGTTCAACCTCCTTAAAATTATTCAGCCAGTTAGTATTTCAAAATATATCAGTGAGAGTAACTAGCAGACTAATTTCAATGGCTAAAAAAAAATTTATAGAGAATCTTGTATTTCAAAAAAGAAAAAAAAGTTTGAACTGCTATTGTTCAAGAAAAGCCATTCCTTCCACATCTGAGTCATCAAGAATGAACACTGTTAAAACTTGTTAGCAATCCCTGGAGGCATTTAATCGTCCAGCCTACCTAAGCACTTTAAAATGCACCCTCCTTTTGTTCCTGTTCTCTTTTTGCGCCTCCTTTTTAGTTGATGTTCTCAGCCGTCAACATTCCTTTCACTTCTGCGTTGTCATTGTATTTCTTTACATAAATATGTCCTTGGTTTTGTTTACCTGTTAACTTAAAAGTCCAGATTCGGGCGTGTTGTGCTGCTACCCAAGATTAATTGCTCTAATTCTGTAGATTGCACACTGTTCTCACATTTACCTGAAGAAACTTACTCTAATATATTCTCTGGTAGCTATTTCTTTATATCCATCAACTAGTACCTTATTCGCTGTTAGTTAAATGAGCCATAGGTAAGACAGCTAAATTTCCGAAAGCCAGAGTAAGTTTGCAGCATCAGTAATGACATAGCTGTTCCTCACACAATCTAGAGGGGGAGAGAGGTTATTTCAGTTTCAAGTTAGAAAGGGGGGAGCCATATGTACATTGACCTTGACAGTGACAGTGCCTTTCTTAGAAGTAATTTCAGTAGGCACAGGAATGTTACACCCTTCTCCACTGCACTCCATCTAAATGACTCTGCCAATGTTTTTGGAAAACTTTCGAAAATAAATTTGGCTGCAAAATACAGCTAACCACCTTCCTTTGCAAGTTTTGCAAAGTGAAGAAAGGTTTATACTTCTTGTGATTGGTATTTAGCACAATTCTAAGGCAGTTAATACTGTTCGTACATTGGTTTTTCCATTAAACGTCTCTAGAGAAAACAAAAGCTTAAACCTGTGATGTGGATACATCAGATTGTGTCTAACAAGCAGTGCAATATTAAGCGGTGCAATAAAGGCCCTGTTGGTGAAATGGCTTGTTGGAAAGTTGGACACTTTGGGTTAGCTTCCTGCATTGACTGCTCACATGGGCATTAGTCCTTTCAACTGTGAATGCAGTCTCTAAAGAAACCCTTTGCTCTTACGAGGTAATTCATGTGTTTGCTTTCCGTTGAAAATGTTAAATCTAACAGTTGTTTATGTCTTGTATAGAGAGTGTAATATGTATTTAAGTTGTGTATTTTTATAAAGTAAAGCCAAATATTAAACACTAGTCTGTGGGTTGTGCTTCCTTGTTGAGACACTGGTCTGTAATGTAAAACACATTAGTCTAGAAGCCAGTCTAGTTCCTCACCAACTGAGACCTTAGATAAAACATCTGGCTTTAGTTTCCAGTTGGTAAAACGGAGGAAATTTTTATTCATCAGTTCATCAGGCTAGTCTTAGCCTTATAAAGTTGTGATTAAAGTGTTTTGATCTCTTAAAGAAAGATACTAATATTATGTTTGCCTTTTTAATTCAGATGAAACTGTTATCTCATTTTAATAATATAGATCTTAATAATTCAGTTAACCAGTCTTTGGACAACAAGAATCCTTAAGTAACAGATGGTTGTGAACCCAGAATTTGAAAGTGGAAGCCTTGTAGGGCCAGTCCGCAGAAGGCAGTCTATCTCCACAGGCTTCAAACAGGAGCTTTAGTTTGCATTATGAATGACATTTGTTCTCATCTGAGAATGTCCATTTTGAAGAGCTGATGTACCTTCTTCATACTGCTAATATATTCTAAAGGGAAGCTGCCAAATCCTCCTGTGATCCACCCTTCCTCCCTGGCCATAGCTTGGTTCATGAGATGGGAATGTCACCCAAGCTGAACCAGTTGGCGTTCTTCCCTGGGATCTTTCCATCTGAATCTATAAAAACAAAATTGCTCTCAGTAGAGGGAGATAGGAGTAGTCTGCTGATGCTGGCAACCTTGATTACAACCTTATGGAAAATATTTGAGAGAAAGAAGCAGACGTTCAGAAAAAGAGTCCTGATGGCTAAGACCTTTTTCCTAGTCCCCGAGGTCCCCTGAACTGATGGTTCTTCAAGCCCATCAGCACCCAGACTCCTTCCAGTAGATCTCCATTCCGTTTCCTGCTTAAGTTGGTTGGAGTTTGTTTTCTGTTACTTGCAGCTAAAAGAATATGAGAAAATAATAGACACCAAGGATTGTAAGCAGGGATGAGAAAGCTGTGGTCTGTAGACTGGTATAATATTTGATAGGTATATTATAAGTTTTTATATTTTCAAATATGCCACATACTTGCTGTGTCTCATCTAGAGTCTGGCTATGTTTTAAAATAATAATAACCACTTGTAAACTAAAAAGAAATATTAAATTTATTCACTTTTTAGGGTCAATTCAAAATGCAAAATTTTATCTAGCTTTTTGGTTTCCATTTGATCCATTGCCTATCAGGGGCACTTCTAATTACTTAAATTTCTAATCAAATTTTTTTGTTAAAACAGTAATTAATCATATATTTATTGAGCACCTGGTATGTGTTAGGCCTTGTTCTAGGCACTTGAGGATATAGCAGAGCACAGAACCAACAAAAATTCCCACTGTGTGAAACTCATATTCTAGTGTCATTATTATTTTTTTTAATTTGTGAAGTTATAATGAAATGTTCTTTTTTACTATAAATTTATTCCCTCTACATTTCTGTCTGAAGAGGCACATTTGTATTTTTGACTACTCTTCAAGATATGCAATTTTACAATTAATACTGATTGCTACTATATACAGAAGATCATGTAGGTTGTTAAAAAGGTGTATTAATTTATTTTGAGAACTTAATTATTATACAAATCTGTTTTTCATGTCGACTTGAAGGATATAGTTCTAGACTTTAGGCGTTTATTTATATGTTTTTATAATTTATGATTAAAATATTCTTCCAAAGAAGTTAAGGTTATATTTATTTAGAGGGAAAATATCTAGAATCTAAGTCATCATTTTAGTTAAATCAGTATTATGTACCTGTGAGACCACCCAGTTAAAAGTCTGATCAGTTGACTGTTCTAAAGGATGCTATGACTTTAGGAAAATTATTTCTCCCTGTATCCAAAACAGTTAGTTGTTAGTGATAATTATAAAATCAGCAGATACAGCCCATGAAAGCATTTTACTAGGAAAGAGAAAGTAAAAGCCTGCTAGAATTGAGAAAAATTAAGGTGAGAAGTGCCTGCATGCCTCATTTCAGCATGTGAACATTCTGCTGGTTTCAGAGTATGAGAGAAAACAAAAAGGTTAGTAAGATCAGTACTAAAGAGAGAGGCAACATCTTAGTGATTCAACAGGAAAATAAAAGAAAATAAGAAACTGACTCTGTTCTGACTAGAAGGGAGCAAACAGAAAAGCCCCGAGTCAGTGGTTGTCAGATGTTTTCTACTAACAGAACCCTACCTTTCTAGTGAACTCTAACCAACATGGGATCCCATTATTAAAAAAACAGTCAAGAGCAAGATTTTATCAGGATAAATGTATAGGTTCACACTTTCAACATCCTCTGTATAAAAGCAACCTAAAAGGCAGTTTTTCCCCTTAAAGGAGATGCAGCGTTTATATCAGAACACGACAAATCCCCACGCTACTCCCTCCTGCACACAGATGCCGGCGAGGAGAGCGCATTGTGAGAGAAAGTGATCCGGTTCAAGGAAAGGAGGGGTTTCTGCCAGGAGCTCTGTACTGATGGCAGTGCTGGGCAGGAACGCCGTTTCATGAAGTGTCCTAATGAAATTTTAGATACAAGGTTAAGTACTATGGCTTTGTAAAGTGAGGCAAAGAGCTGAGCTCCTCGTCCTAAGAAATGAACAAGACTTCTAGAGATTGGAGGTGCCTAAAAGAACAGGAAGAGAGACTTAATAACATAGAGCAGAAGGCTGGGGTATTGAGAAGCATAATTGGAAAGATATTAGATGTTAGGAATTACTAGATATTATGTAATATTATAAAGAAAGCCAAAGAGAGGTTCCCAGTAATGGAAAGAACCAAAGGACTTTTAAGAAGATGGATGTCTTTTATAATGTTATCACCATTTTACAGAAAACAGGCTTAGAGAAGTTTAGTGACTTGCTCAAGGCCACACTGGAAGCTATTCAATGCCAAACTTGCCCAATTTCAGAAGCCAGGTTCCCAGTCTACTCTTATCAGCCTAAGGATCCAAATTTCAAAATATTCTGCTTCACACTCTTAAGTACTATTATATCTGCTTATTCTATGTTGCTTACACGGTCATAAATAGGCCTGTATTGTTTAAAAGACCACAGAGATATAATTTTTCTCATTTATGACACAAGTTCAAATCCTACATGTGTGCATAGGAATAAAAGTTATTTCTGGGGTGTGCCCAAGCCAAGGGAATTAATATGACAAGTTAATGTGTTAAATTGTGGAATATAATACATTTGCATATATTAATGGCTTTTTTTAAGTGAAATTTTGAATAGACTCTTGCGGAACCTCTTATGCTTCCAGAACAGCTTGAAAATCATGTCTTAAGGGACATCCACTCTAGCCAGCAACTGAAAGTTAAGTAAGCCTGAGAACTAAGAAATAACGAACGAGTTGGGGGAGAAGGAACAGACAGAAAATCAATAAGGAAACATCAGGCTTAATGAACACATTAGACTATATGAACTTAATAGATATGTATAAAACATTCCATCCAAAAGCAGCAGTATACACATTCTTCTCAAGTGCACATGGAACATCCTCCAGGACAGATCATATATTAAGCCACAAAAAAGTCTCGACAAATTCAAGAAGATTGAAATCATATCAAGCATCTTTTCCAATCACAGTGGTATGAAATTAGAAATCAATTACCAGAAGAATGAAAAAAAACACAAAAGTGGGGAGATTAAATAATATGCTACTGAACAATCAATGAGTCATCTAAGAAGTCAAAGAGAACTTAAAAAAATACTTAGAGACAAATGAAAACAAATATGACATACCAATTTTGATGGGATGCAGCAAAAGTGGTACTAAGAGAGAAGTTCATAGTATTACTAAAGGAAGTAGAAAAAGAACAAACGAAGTCCAAAGTGAGTAGAAGGAAAGAAATAATAAAGGTCAGCAGAAATAGAGACTAAAAAAGCAATAGAAAAGATCAATGAAACTAAGAGCTAGTTGTTTGAAAAGATAAACAAAACTGACAAACCTTTAGCTAGACTAACAAAAAAAGAAAGAGGACCCCAAATTAATAGAAATGAAAGAGAAGTTACAACTGATACCCCAGAAATACAAAGGATAAGAGGCTACTATCAACAAATTGGACAACTTAAAAGAAAGAAATTTCCATAAACGTGGTCTTCCAAAACTAAATCTGAAGAAGCAGAAAATCTGAATAGACTGATTACTAGTAATGAAATTGAATCAATCAAAAAACTCCCAACAAATAAAAATTCATGACCAGATGGCCAACTAGTGAATTCTTCTAAAGATTTAATACCTTTTTTTTCCAAATTCTTCTAAAAAGTTGAAGAGGAAAGAACACTTTCACATACCCAAATACATTTTACAAGGCAAGCATTTCCCTGATAGCAAAACCAGACAATGGACACCACCAAAAAAAAAAAAAGTTACATGTAATATCCTTGATGGACATAGATGCAAAAATCCTCAACAAAATATTAGCCAATTCAACAATACATTAAAAGGATCATATACCACAGTCAAGGGGGATTTACTCTAGGGATGTAAGGATAGTTCAACATCTGCAAATCAATGCAATATACCACATTAACAAGATGAAAGATAGAAATCATATGATCATCTAAATAGACACACAAAAGAATAGATTCAACATCTATTTGTGGTAAAAACTCTTGAAATGGGTATAGGGGGAATGCACCTTAACATAATAAAGGCCAGATATGACAAACCCACAGCTAACACGATCATATTTAATGGTGAAAAGCTGAAAGCTTTTCTTCTAAGGTCAGCAACAAGACAAAGATGCTCTTGCCACTTTAGTCAGAATAGTATCAAAAGTCATAGCCACAACTATTAGGCAAAAAAAAAAAAAAAAAAATCCAAATAGGAATGGAAGTAGTAAAACTTTCACTATTTGCAAATGACATGTGCTGTATATAGAAAACCTTAATGACCACTAAGAAAACTGTTAGTATTCACGAATTCAGGAAAGACACAAGATACAAAATCGATATACCTAAATCTGTGACATTTCTATATACTAATAACAGACTATC